AGCAGTGATGTATATCAATACTGTAATAACATATTCGTTTTGGCACCTATTTGGGGGCCATCTTGGATTTCAATATAAAGTAATCCTTTGATGACATAGCTTTAGGCATGAATAAAATCTTTAGACTCTAACATCTAAAACCTCTTCTAAAACTCTTCAAAATCATGTCGAAACGTTTTTGAGCTTGTATCATTAGTACATATTTGTTTTTGAACCAAATTTGGCGGCCATCTTGGATTTTCATATGAATTAATGTTTTGATGACTTGGATTTAGGCATAACTCATAACACATATTTTCTTACTCTAGGGGTCCAGACCTTCCCAAAAATCACAATGGCCATTATTCCCCTGATTTGGTACCGACCAACCCCCCACGCTGATCGCCGCCATCAGCTTCGCCCCAAAATTTAGGTTATCAGTATCAAGTTAGGGGAATAATCACCATAGTGATTTTTGGGAAGGTTAAGACCTCTAGAGTAAGAAAATGTGTGATAGCATTGCAACAGTTGTAGCTAAATGGGTGTTATCACCCATTTTTCAAAATGGCCACTGGTGCACGAGTTAAATTATAAAAGTAGGTATATCTAAGCATACTGAGTTACTAAATCTGTGATTTTAGAATCTATTTTTGGCTTTAAGGGGTCAACGATTTCATTTATGCCTAAATTGGAGTCATCAAATAATTAATTTTCATAGAAGTCCGAGATGGCTGCCAAAATGGTGCCAAAACAAATTTGTAATTATTGATTTAAACTAAAAAAAAACACTTGAGAACAGTGATTTTGGAGCCCATGTCTACATTTTAGGGGCCAAGGATTTCATTTATGTCTAAAGATCTGAGTGCTTAAATAATTTACTTTTCATAGAAATCCAAAATGGCCACCAAAATGAGTGCCAAAACAAATATGTAACTTCTGATTTAAGCTAAAAAAAACACTTATGAACAGTGATTTTGGAGCCCAAATGTACATTTTAGGGGTCAAGGATTTCATTTATGTCTAGATCTTTGAGTCATTAAGTAATTGCTTTTCATAGAAATCCAAGATGGCCACCAAAATGGGTCCCAAAACGAATATGTAACTTCTGATTTAAGTTAAAAAATACTTATGAACAGTGATTTGGAGTCCATTTGTACATCTTAGGATCAATGATTTCATTTATGTCTAAATCAAAGTCATCAAATAATAACTTTTTAAAGAAATCAAAGGTGGCCAGCAAAATGGGTGCCAAAACGAACATGTAACTTCCGATTTAAGCTAAAAACACTTAAGAATAGTGATTTGGAGTCCATTTGTACATCTTAGGGGTCAATGAATTCATTTATTTCTAAATCGTAGTCATCAAATAATAACTTTTTAAAGAAATCCAATATGGCCGCCAAAATGGGTGCTGAAACGAATATGTAAACATTGATTTAAGCTCAAAGAACAGTTGAGAACAATAATTTTGGAGACCATGTCCACGTTTTAGGGGTCAAGGATTTCATTTATGTCTTAATCCAAGTTATCAAACAATTGCTTTATACAGAAATCAAAGATGGCCACCAAAATAAATATGAAACTATTGATTTGAGCTCAAAGAACAATTGAGACCGTGTCCAGGTTTAATGGGGTAAGAATTTCAATTATGTGTATAACTAAGTCATGAAATAATTCCTTCATTTGGACATAAAGAAGGCCGCCAAAATGGCTGCAGAAATGAATATGTAACTTTTTATCTAAACATAGATAGATAAAACATAGAGCTTAAATCAAAAGTTAAAGATTCGTTTTGGTAGCCATCTTGGATCTCTATTGAAAAGTAATTATTTGATGACTCAGATTTAGACATAAATGAAATCCTTGACCCTTAAAACCTAGACAATAGAGAGATTTCGCACATAAGTGAAAGTACAACTTATACGTATAGTTTAAAGGGTCATGTCAAACTATTATATTTACTAAAATCAATTTTAAATTGTAGTTAATAGAACATAACGATTCCCGTTATAGAAAAGCTCCATCAACTAGAGACTATGAATGCACTGTCATCTGCACGTGTAGATTATGCACATTATAATTAAATGCTTGCTTCCGTGTCCTTGTAGTTGTAGTGTATTATAAACACGATCCTTTAACTCTTTTGCGCGGTATTTAATTATTTTTAAAAGCTACTGAGCGGTAATTAATTTACTAAAAATTAGGATTTTCATGCCTGCCAATTTGAAAGTGACATAAAACCTAAACCAACAGAGATAACACCACCACATTTTTACTCATAATTGGAAACATATGTATAAATCATATGTTAACGTATGAACTCATCACAATTAGAGGCACTGATGATAAAAATCCTAAACATTATGTATTGCAAAAAAACATAAGACCCCTACTAAATATTACCTTGGTGTACCCCAGCAGCTTCCCTTGCCTGTCCCCCAAGCACAGAGTTGTCAGGCCCATCATCGTTCTAAGTTTCATTTTCTGAGGCTTCAAATATTAGGCTTCACTGCCAGAATAATTGAATATAGCAGCAATTTGATCATCATTACCCGTCTAAATCTAGCCCTTTTTAAATACCACAATGTCTGATCACTTCCAGATTCGTATTTGTTACGAAATAAATCAATTAAGTGACCAAAATAATTTTTTTCAGAAACTTTGCTTCGCCAAATTAATTTTAAATCACTTCCTGTCAATGTGAGTACCAAATATTGGCACTGCAATACAAGGGTGACATCTTTTGAAGTCTGCTAAAACTTTCCTATAGCATGTCGACTCCAGGTTGACATACGCCATAAAGCGTAGTGGCAACAAAACTCGCCTGACCGCACAAAAGAGTTAAAGGGAGTCATGATTCTTTAAAGTGAGTCATTACATAAACAAGTTGATTATTTCAATGTTTTCATGATCAGTATAAGTTCAATGAACTTACAAAATGGCATATTTACGTAGATGATAACGTATACAGTTGGATCTCCGTATAAAGATTTGCCTACATGTGTGTGGAACAATTGACCGCAAGCATTTTTTGAAATTAATTGGCTGAGTGGGAACAGTATCCAATCAAATACTTTAACCATCAATTTGAAACACCAATCAAACCAGTAGGTTCTAGCAATTCCTGGAAACGACCCATTCAGTAGCTCAACATATGACATACAGGGTGTTTCATAACGAGCATCTCCAAAAAGTCAATTTGAGAAGAGATAACATACAGTATGTACTATATATGAGTCTATTTTATTCTAGACAAACACATTTGGATCAACTAAACATGCTATAATTCAAGAAAGTACAAATGGCATCCCTTTGACCTGTTTTTATTACAGTCCGAGAAGATCTTTCCTGACGAAAAGCTCACATTATGAAACACCTTGTACGTTTACCTATAAGTATAAGTATACGTTATAAGTTGTACTTTCACTAGGTGCGAAATCTCTCTAATGTCTCCAAAATCACTGTTCTCTGAGCTTAAATCAAAAGTTACGAATTCATTTTGGCACCAATTTTGGTCGCCATCTTGGATTTCTATATAAAGTAATTATTGATGACTCAGATTTAGACATTAATAAAATCCTTGGTCCCTAAAATGTAGACATGGGCTCCAAATTCACTGTTCTTAAGTGTTTTTAAGCTAAAATCAATAGTTATCCCACCAAACGAAGTTCGAGGGGGATATAGAGAAGCCGTCCGTCCCTGTGTCCGGGCGATAACTTCAATACCGGTTAACGGATTTAGTTCAAATTTTATAGGCTAATGCCTTATGAGTGTAGGACCTCTGCTCGAGAAGGAATTTTTAATATGGCCGCTCAATTCAAAATGGCCGCCATTTTTCGTAAAAATGTAATCGTTGATAACTCAAATACAAGTAGACGGATTTGGTTCAAATTTTATATGCTGATGCCTAGGGACAAAGGAGTTTCGCACAAAAAGAGATTTTCAAGATGGCCGCTTATTTCAAAATGGCGGCCATTTTTCGTAAAAAAAAATATGTAATCTTTGATAACTCAAATACCAGTGAACATATTTGGTTCAAATTTCATATGATGATGCATAGGGACACAGTAGCTATGTTTGACAAAAAAATTTCAAGATGGCCGCTTAATTTCAAAATGGCGGCAATTTTTCGTAAAAATGTAATCTTTGATAACTCAAATACCAGTGAACAGATTTGGTTGAAATTTTATATGATTATGCCTAGGGTCACAGTAGCTCTGTTCAAGAAATAATTATCAAGATGGCGGCTGAATTTCAAGATGGTGGCCAATTTTCGTAAAAAACGTAATCTTTGATAACTCATATACCAGTGAACGGATTTGGTTCAAATTTTATATGATGATACCTAGTTCACAATGGTATAAACTATAACTTTGTGCCAAATTTCATGCTTCTATCACAAAGTGCACAAACATTTCAACATTTGCACTAGCTATAATAAGCATAATATGTTTTGTTGGGTAGGATTTGCTACTCCGTGGAGTTGCTGTTTTTCATGTTACATATTAGTTTTGGCAGCCATTTTGGTCGCCATCTTGGATTTCTATAATAAGTAATTGTTTGATGTGTTAGATGTAGACATAAATGTCAAAGCATTGACTCCTAAAACCCAAACTTAGGTCCTAATAAAATCACAGTTTTTGCATCTCAGTGTGCTCAGTGTGCTTACCCACTCTTATATTGTAACATGTGCACCGGCGGCCATTTTGGAAAATGGGTGATAACACCCATTTAGCTACAACTGTTGCAATACTATCACAAATTTTCATGGATGATAAGGGAGAACTCTGTTACCCATATTTGCATTAGTCCAACAATTGAAGTTATGTCACTTAGTTACATACCCCTAAGGGAGACCCATGTTAAGGGAGCCATGTAGGACTTTCATCCAAAATACAGCCTATTCTATTCAAGGGTGCGATACTTCTCACCATGTGTCGTGTTAAGTGTGTGGACAAATCTGCCCAGATTGAACAAATGTTAATTCGTCTCATTATACTAAGGTGCCTTCTTTACTTCAGATTTGATCCTGCCACCTGAGGTGATTAATCAGGTGGTCAGTGCAACAGACCTAGAGGAAATCAGCAAGAAACTTGAAAACAACACAAAGCTGGACAACGTTGGTAAAGAGGAATCCACCAACTCAGATATCACTTCTGTTCTGACATTCTGGCGCTCCGAGGCAGGCTCCCAAGCAACTCTAGGCAACCTGATCAGTGTTTTACGTACTGCTGGCATCAAAGATCACACTTATAAGGAAATAATCCAAGATAAGTTTCTCCGGAGCTCCCAACCACATTGGAGCCTTGAGTTGGCTCCTGAAGATTTAAAGAGCCAAATCACAGAGATTGATATGACAAGGATATCTCATAAAATGACAATGATTCCTGTTGATATGATTATAAATGGGCTTGGATTCACCCCAAAGGAACTTGAAGCATTTATGTCTATGAATAAAGGAGATATTCAACGACAGACTAATAAGATCCTATCAACTTGGCGTTCTAGAGAGGGGACATCCGCAACTGTTGATAAACTGGTATCAATATTTCGAAAATATAACATCAGTGATGAGGCATACAAGGATGTCCTCCTGAGTACATATTGTAAAGATGATGTTCAAGTGTAAAGTAAAGTGTATTGTACAGAAGATTCACTCAATCGTTTTATTTTTACTTTTATTATGCTTTCTCTTCCTCATAGTTAGCATGGCTAATGTGTTTGTTGATCAATATGCCCGTTGATTCTTTGGGAACAAATCTTATATTTTCAAAAAGCAATGGTTTGAATAAGCTTTCCAATTAAGTTACTTCCGATTCAATGTTTGTTGAAAGTATGTCTGTGTAGATACAGGTAGATTGGATATCATTATTATTCAGAATATTTGAAATATAGTGTCTCTCGCTCTACAAGATTGGCTCAGTTTCGAGGAAGTATGTATAAATACCAGTTTCATTTTGATTTTCTTTTTTCTTAAAATCAAAATTGCTACAAAACATCATGGCATTCAACTAGATGCCCATGAAAACATTAAAACACAAAACCATGGAATTCTGATTACAATTTCCAAAATCATGGAACTTGATTGCATTTTTCCAAAGATCATGGAGTTTGATTGCACTAGAAAAATATTTGTTTAAGAAATGTAAACAGGCGCATGATTTCTGAAAACTGCATGGGTGTATATTTCTTCTTTTTTCTTTTTTTTATATAAGTAAATCTTTATTTTCACATATTATTTTTTACATGTTATTAATGTTGTTTACTGTAGAAGGAGAGAGAGAGAGAGAGAGAGAGAGAAAGGAAGATTGATGATTTTTGTCACTTTGTATAAATTGATGATATTAATGCAAGAGTCTGCTACAGATATTCCATAGTGTCTCATGTTGTTCCATTTTGTTGTTTTTCTTCGCTATGTATTTTTCTTCTTCTTTTTGACTCTGGAGGTATATTATAAAAGGACCTAGTTCTGGTCTATTGTCTCCTAATTTTCTTTAGTTTATGAAATGTTTCATATGAATCAGTAGCTTATTTTGTTGTCTTTTTTCTCTACTGTATCCAAAAATAATGTCTTTATTTTCTGGTATGTTTTCACCAGCTTCGTCATAGCACGTTCTCAAGAAGTCCTTTGTGGCTGTACATTCTAGGAATCCATGTTCGATGCTATCTATATGGTTCTCATTGCATATTGTACACATTGGCGTGTTTTTTCCTTCTATATTCATTTTGTTCAGCATTTTATTGAAGTAAATTGTTCTGTGTAATAATCTGAACTGGAAGTATCTAAGTTTCGCATTTTCTGTAATCATTTTATAAGTGGTGTATATTTCATCCCATTCTTTAGATTTATCCTCATTTAAATTTAGCAACCTAAGCCACTTGTCTTGTGCTTTTATTGGTTGTATTTTTATCTGTCTTTTAAACATCCTATAAGTGCTTTTATTTGAGATGTTTGGCAATTGTTCTCTGAGTGGCTTCCAGTTTGAACGAATTTCTCCCCCTTCCACCATTTTTTGTCTCCATGATAATGGTATACAAAGTATAATTTTGTTATAGTCTAAGAATGTTTGGTGAGCTAAATTATACTTGGTTTCCAGTTCTTGGAATCTTAATAATTTTTTGTTCTCTTTATATAACTGATGTATATGCCTTATCCCCTTAGATTCCCATTCATTGTTGTTTATAGTTTCTTTTCTGTTCAGAATGCAGCTGTTATTTCAAATAATTTGATGTTTTATTTCTTCTTTCGTGACAAGTTCATTTGCTGCTTTGTAGTGTAGCTCACACCATATTTTTAGTATTTCATCTATGCTTGTAATGTTTACCTTGTCTTCTAGTGTTTTTGGGTCCTTAGCATTACAATTTCATTTTCCCTTATTATCATAGTTTTTTAGCTTCATTTCCATAAAGTTTTCCATTTACCTTGGTCATCTGTATTGAAATATTTTCTTAACCATTTAACCTTTGCATTTTTGGCAAAGGCTTTTAGGTTAACCATTTCTAGTCCTCCTTTGATCTTTTCTTGAAATTTTATCTCTTTTGCCATTCCATATAAACTTGGTATAGTTTTGTTTCAACATTTTTAAGATATGCATCTGATGGAAGGGGTAAAACTGCTAGCAGATTGGTTAATTGAGAGATCATTAGTGATTTGATTACATGAATTTTCCCTATCTGTAATCATTCTTTGCTTCCACATTTTTATTTGGGCTTCAATTTTTTCCAAAGCTCCTTGATAATTAATGTCTTCTATTTTATTCCCATTCATAAGAATGTTTATGCCTAATAGTTTAATATTTAGCTCACATGGTGAGCTTTTGCAATCACTCACTTGTCCGTCTGTCTGTCTGTCAACAATAGTGGCACGTTTTAAAACCTCTGTCGATAGGATTCCTGTTTTAAGTTTTTTCTGTTCAACATCAACACAGAAAACTCCCCTATGACTCCTGGTTCAAAATCTCGCCTATTTTCAAAATGGCCGTCACTTTTGTCTCGCAAAATTCACTTTTGACCCATTTCCTAGAGTTACAAATAATCTCAGGTGTCCTACATTGTAAAAATCCATGTGAATGTAAAGGGTAGATATATGAAATAATTTTGTTACAAAAAATCAGCGAAAAATTATATCCATTTTTTTATTTTCAGCCATTTTAGTTAACATTGATTTGTCTATCTGACTCGCAAAATCCTCTTTCCGTCAATAACAGTGGCACGTTTTAAAACCTCTGTCTATAGGATTCCTGTTTTAAGTTATTTCTGTTCAACATTAATACAGAAAACTCCCCTATGACTCCTGGTTCAAAAGCTCGCCTATTTTCAAAATGGCCGCCATTTTTGTCTTGCGAAATTCTTTTTTGACCCATTTCTTAGCTTTAAAAATAATTTCAAGTGTCCTACATTGTAAAAATCCATGTCAATGTAAAGAGTAGATGTATGAAATAATTTTGTTACGAAAAATCAGCAAAAAATTATATCCATTTTTTTTTCAGCCATTTTAGTTAACATTGATTTGTCCATCTGTCTCGCGAAATCCTCTTTTGGACCATTTGCTTAAAACCTCTGTCAATAGGATTCCAGTTTCAAGTTACTTTTGTTCAACATCAATACAAAAAACTCCCCTATGACTCCTGGTTCAAAAGCTTGCCTGATTTCAAAATGGTCGCCATTTTTGTCTTGCGAAATTCAATTTTGGCCCATTTCCAAGCTTTACAAATAATTTCAGGTGTCTTGCATTGCAAAAAGCCATGTCACTGCAAAGAGTAGTTGTATAAAATAATTTTGTTACAAATAATTGGCAAATAATTATATCCGTTTTTTTCAGCCATTTTACTTATCATTGATTTGTCCATCCGTCTCTCAGTCAGTCCAAAATAGTGGCAAGAGGCTTGAAATAATTTTGTTACAAAAAATCAGCAAAAAATTATATCCGTTTTTTTTCTGTCACCATGTGAGCCCAGTACCCATGGTACTAATTTTTCTTTTTCTAATTTTAAGTTCATCGATTCACACAGGGTTTCTATTTCACGTTGGTTTGTTTTTTCACCAATTATGGCTATTTCTGTCTTTGTTGATGCATAGACCTGATGTCTCTCCAAACTTCTCGAGTAATTTTATAGCTGGCTTTATCGATATTTCATCTTGGAGAAGTAGTGTAGTGTCATCAGCAAACTGTGTTGTCTTTACTTCTGTATCCAGGCCATCATTCAGTTTAATTCCTTGTATGTTTGTTGCTCTTCTTATGGCTGCGCTTAGTAGTTCTGCCCCAATGATAATAAAAAGGTAGGGAGATAATGGGCTGCCTTGTCTTACTCCTCTAGTTGGGTTAAAGTAAGGTGAAGTAAAACCGTTATTGAGTATTGTGCTGCTGATGTTGTTATAGAAAATTTTTACACTCTTTATTATATTTTCACTAAAATTAAAGTATAGCGACTTGAGTATGTAGCTGATCTCAATTGTGTCGAAGGCTTTTTGAAAATCAATTAGAGTTATGATTCCATATCTGTTTTCATTTTTCATGTGTTCATTTAGATCAGTCACAAGACGTATGTTTTCTCCAATATAACGTCCTTTTAAGAAACCCGTTTGGTCACTACTTATTATGTGCGGGAGCACTTGTTTTATTCTGGAGGCTATTAATTTTGTAAGTAGCTTATAATCAGTATTTAGGAGCATTATAGGCCCCCAGTTTTAAAGCTTCATTGGATTTTTGCCTTTTTTGGTATCAATGTTATTACATCTCTTTTTTGTTCGATAGTCAATTCTCCTTTTAAAAATGTTTCTTCAAAACTTTTTAGCAGGTATGGGGCTAAAAGTTTCCAGAAGTGTTGATAGAAATCTGTGCTTATGCCATCACTGCCAGGAGTTTTCCTCTTTTCATCAGTTTTAGTTGTGTGAGGCATTCTGCTTCTGTTATATCATTTTCACAATTTTGTTTTTGCTCTTCGGTTAGTTCCTCAGTGTCGTTCTCTTCCGGGAAGAATATGCTTTTGTGTTTTTCTTCGTCTACATTGGTTGATCTGTATATCTTTTCATAAAACTTCATTTGTTCTAGGGCTATGTCTTTTTGTTTTTCAACTATTTTCCCGTGGTCTGTTTCTATCTTTGTTATTGTTTTGTTAGAAAATTCCTTTTTTCCAGTTTGAGGAAGTAAGCTGTGGGTTTTTCACCTTCTTCAATCCACCTAACTTTACTTCTAAATAGTGTTGCTTTAGCTTTTTCTGTATTTAAAATGTCAATTTCATTGTCAAGGTTTTCAATTTCATTTTTTAGTCTCTCTTGCTCTATTTGGCAAGCAGCACTTTGCTTTTGTAGTAGGATTCTGCGGCGCATCTTGATATCAAGGTTAGTTTTTGATTCTTCTTTTTTAGTCTTTGAAAATTTGACTGTTACTTGTTTTATGTTAAACTTTATTAACTCCCATGGTATATTTGGTTGTAGAGTTGTGTTTTGCTTTGTTGTGGCCACGTGGTTGATCTATAAATTTTAATTTAAGTGTTATTAGTTTGTGGTCTGTAATCTTGATATATGTGTTTGGATCTATTATGGCTTCTTCTGTACATTGGAATACGTCTCCTGAAACAAGAAAGTAGTCTAGTCTACACTTGATGGTTGAATTGTTGCTTTCCCATGTATAGTCATTAATACTCTTGTTTTCTGTCTCCATACATCTAGAAGATCGAAATCTTCGATTAGTGCATTTATTTGTTCTCTTGTTTTCCCATGTGTTGCATCTCTTCCACCATATTTATCGATATTTGGCTCTAAAATTACATTGAAGTCTCCTCCAATAATGATTTGGTGGTCTATATATTCTCTGAGTTTCTCATTAATTTTTGGATACAAAATTCCATTGTCGTGATTGAATCCATAAACATTTATCAATATGTCGGCCTCCCATGCATCAGGCACTGGATAAGGATATATCTTCCATCTGGGTCCGTTTCATTTTTTATGATTTCTATGTCACTTCGATTTAAAAAAAGTACTCCTACCCCTGCTGCATTTTGTGAGTACTGTGAGAAAAAAGGCTTGAACCCCCATTCCTGAGACCATAATGATTCTTGCTTGGATCCACTGTGTGTTTCGTGGAGAAAGAGAATGTCAATTTTGGCTTTTCTTGTGGTATTGAATATTTTTCTCCTTTTGATCCTATTTTGCAAACCCTTTGCGTTTACTGATGCTATTTTAAGTGACATTATTATTGCTTGAACCTGGGTCTTACCTGTCTCTCTC